GGGTATCTGAGGACACAGACCACTACGCACTCTCTTGGTCACGTTTCTTGAAACCCAGAATTTTCTCTGAACACTTGCAATTTATTCCTCAAAGGAGAATTCTAAAACAAACAAATAACTAAAAAAAAGTGTAAACAGCAATGCCAGGAATCCCTGGAACCCTGATGGCTTCTCCCAGACTGAGGTTCTCAGCCTTTCTGGAAGCCCCTTTTTTTTTCTTTTGCTCCACGACTTTTCAATGATGTCTATAAAAATGACCTGGTACAAAACCTTTTTAGAGTGAACAGACCACATAGATGTAAAATGATCTGTTTCTACTTATTCCTAATTATGAACAAGCAAAATTGTCAAAAATCCTCATGAATTACTAAACAACAGCCTTAGTCCTAAGACGTGGACAATTAAATGAGCATAGCCAAAAACACAAGTATTAGTGTTATTTAGCATTATAATATAAAGTAGGGCCTCAACATACACTACCAGACTCTAAGAGACGTCCCAACAGTTTTACAGGGACAAGCAGTTGATTATGACCTTAGGCAAGGCCTAAACCTTTAGAAACAGACTTACTTTTAACTAACCTGGCTTTTAGCATTTGAAAACAAGAACAGCTTATTTATTCCCTTAGTTGTCAGAGAAAGATTACAAATTTTTTTTTTTCTCCAGGGCTAGCATTAACTTGCACTGAGTTAGCAAAAGGCTAAGTAGCATATAAGAGACATTTCTATGTTTTTTTATAGGTGAATTAGAATGGGCTCCTTCAAAATTTATGAAGGAGAACACAGGCTAAGGAAGGGAGGGGACATGTTTCCCAGAAAGAATTTAAAATAACCGGTAATACTTATACGCAACAGACAATATTTTCACAGCCTTAACAACAAAAGGCAGAAATTTTAACAGTGACAATGGGATGGGAGAAAACACCACACAAATAAAGGGAGACATAAAATGACATAAAGAAACATGTGCCAATCAAATTTTTAAAAGACGACATGTCCCATCAAACAAAGCATAATAACTCAACCAGCTTTTTTAGCAGATTTAAAATGTCAGAAACACACAAATGAGAGAATGAGGGGTATGGGAAACATCCGCTTTTGTCCCCCTCCAGTCATACTCCTCGCGAAGATATCTCAGACACCCCTTAGCAAGTGGCAGGTTGGTACACCCCCAACGCAGACTAGCTTTATGCGGAGCCCCCCCCACCATCCGTCTCATTCACACACAAGCACACGGCACATTTTTTAACTCTCCGTCCTAATCCTAGGAGCCTACGGGTTCATCTTTAGACAGTGTTTCCTTTTACTGCCTTTCAGCCCTTTCCTTCAGGCTGGAAGATTACTACCAGGCTCCGGGAGGTGATCAAGCTCCCATTCTGCCATCCCTTGGCAGGTCTATGCAAAGGCCTTTATTTCTACCCTTTCCATCGGGTGGTCTTTCTATCCTTTCCATCAGGTGGTCGTCCTTGTGCCAGTTCCTTGCCTCTTTGGTTGCTGTTGTGCTTTCGTGGTCCGAGCTTCAGTGCACCGGGAGGGGCCTCCCTCCTATGGATCAAAAGGTCCGTTGCACGCCAGGCGAGATTGCCCTTCCCGTTGCTCTGGAGGTCGTACCTCGATGACAAAGGAGGTGGAACACACCATCTCCAAACTCCCCATTTCCCAGCCAATGTACCAGAAATGTAGCAGGAAAAATAGATCGTGACACTGAGACTATTATAGGAAGTGGCATTTTATTACGCTGGCCATCCCAGCGGGCCCAAGGGTCCAAATCGAGCACCCCAGAACAGGAGAAGTGGGGTCTTATACCCTTGTTTAGGTAAGGGAGGGGGTCGTGTTGAGTGATTACATACTTTCTTTGGAACTTTACAAGATTATACTCAGCAAAATCAGATTTTTTAAAGAACAAATGGTTTTCAAGAACTGCAGGCTTGTTAACCGTCAACTTTAAAAGGGGGGGGTTTAGATAAGACTCTTTTCCATTTCCATAAAATGGTCAGTCTCTGGGCCATTTTGGCCTTTTTTAAACAAAACCTGCCCAGCACCTGGCAGGTCTTTAAAGTTGCAACTTGCCTTTTAAAAGAAAATGCCTTTAATTGCTAACAACCCCTCTTCCTGCCACTAGGAGTTATTCCAGGTGATTGCCATGAGGCCAACTGCTGATTCCAAACCAGCTATATGTGTTTCTGTGTTTATTCACTCAATCCTACAAAAAATATATCTTGAGCATTTGCCGCATCCTGCCACATGACTACATTTCCTAAAGACCAGCACCCATTCTCCTCAGTTAGTATTGCCATGTGTCTCCTAACCAAAGGAATGTATACAGAAGTGAGATGGCCTATTTTGAAGCCTGCCCCATAATATCTGCTGTTAGGTCAGATGTTAGGTCAGTGAGCCAGTGCCACAAATAAGATCCAAAGAATTGCACAGAAATTAGGAAGTAAATTAGAGAGAGAGGAGATTCACCTCCCCAATTTATTATAGGAAAAGGAATGTGAACTTTACTAATACTTTTTGTCCCAGTTACTGTTTAAAGGGGAAGCTGATGAACAGGTTTGAGAGGTTTACAGGAAAGTCCAAAGTGAGTGCAAGCAGGCGAAGGGGGAGGGGCAGCACACAAGGTTTGACTTTGCTGCAGCTACTGCTGCCGCTGCTGGGGTATTATCAGGCACTAGGGAGGGGGATGAGGAGGCTGGATTTGAGTTGTTAGAGGGAAAGCAGGAAAGAGGTAATTAAAGGAGGACTTAGAAGGAGTATGTCACAGGAAGAAGTAGGGGTCTGGGAGGCACACCATTTTGCAAACCTCAGACCATTTGCCCTTGTGGTGACTTGAGGTCAAGTTGAAGGAAAGTATCAGAGACAGAAATCTGCCTTGGGCCTACCTCCTGGTCGCCTAGCTGACATTGAGGAGATGCTTAGGGCAGATGTTTCCCTCTAGGGAAAGGGTCCTGAGACCTTTCAGAATGCATTTCAGTTGGGGATGGGGGGAGCCTTAGCCACCCCATATTGAGGGTTTCCCATGAGGAGTACTGAAGGGAGGGAGCGATTGGTCTAGAGAGCAGTTCCTGAGAGGCCAGAAAGAGAGAAAAACCATCCATGTCCTCAGCCAGCATCCTGAGGATAAGTGGAATAAGCCTGAGTATGTGACTAACAAGGAAGAAAGGGCATCTCCTTCATCTCCTCTTCCATAGCGCAGAGGGCCCCAGGCCCCAGCAAAGGCTGCTCCAACATGTGAGTTTGGGTGACTTGGCCAAGATTTCTGCAGAGGGCCCCAGGCCCTAGCCAAAAAAAAAAAAAAAAAAAAAAACACCTGGATGGAGACAGAAGCAAGCCTCTCAGGTCACGTTTAAAGACCTCCTAGCAGGGAATAGGGCAGCACATGAACTCATCAGCCATGTAATTTCGAGCCTGAAAAGGCTGAGGTGACAGGGAGAGGCCCATTCACTGTAGGTCATCGTAGGTGATAAGAGTAAGAGTAAGTAGCAGAGAAAAGGGCCAAACACCTCACCTAGAGACTCAGGTTGGAAAAGAGGAGAGTGAGAGAGAGCACAGCAATGTGTTGATGGGACCTCCAAATTGTTAGGACAGGTCAGATGTTAGGTCAGTGAGCCAGTGCCGCAAATAAGATGCAAAGAATTGCACAGAAATTCGATTGGAAAATATAGTTTATTTAGAAAGTAAATTTGAAAGAAAGAGAGAGGAGATTCACCTCTCCAAGGTGGGGAGAAGGGCCAAAACTTAGGGAAAAACATGGCCCGGCAGGAGCAGGACTTAACAAAAGCAATGGCTGCAGCCATTTGAGGTTGAATGCTTTTTAAGGCTTTCCTTTGGTGTGGGGCAGGTGATTAAGGTGTTTGAGTGGTGGTCTGTTTCATGTCATCACGAAGGGGCAAGTAAGCACAGTTACTGACTTGATAGATGGCAGGCGGATGGGTGTCGATGGGTGTCGCATTATGTGACAGCTATGTATAGTCACATAACTGTTGCCATGGTGATGGGGTCTGTCTGTGTCACATAGTTCAGGAAGGGCTGCTCACAATAGATTAGGTTAGCTTGGTTTCTTATGGCTGGAGGCAAATACTTGGAATAGAAAAGCTAATTAATACAAAACAAGCTGGGGAGAGGGTTTAAAACAATTCTCAATGGCTATCACTGGGAAAACAGTTTTGCCCTTGATTAGAGAACAAGCTAAGTAATTTAAGAAAGCATGACAGAGCAAGCAGTGTTAAAATGGCTGCATCGTAGCTAAGATTATTTCATTAAATTATTCTATTTTGGCATTTCACCCTTTCATCTGCCATGCTATTTTCTACATGGTCAGGGTATGTTCACACCAGGCTGATCCTGGATACCATGAGTTGAAAGCAGTAGAGACTCTCTTCATCAACCTGGACACTTTCTGACCAAGGAGAAGAGTTGTTGTGTCATCATGAAACTTCCTTGGGCTGTTTGCCTGAACAAGAAATCAGTTTCCGCCACACCTGAATCATTGCCCTTTATATATTTATGTGCTAGTGCAGATATTCTACCCTAACCATTACAAAGCGAACAATGTGAATCATCTAAAACCAAAATAAAATTATTTTTAGTAGGGAAACATATAACAATTAGAGTCTATCTTCTGTTTAAAAAAAAAATGTTGGCTGGGCTCGGTGGCTCAGCCTGTAATCCCAGCACCGAGGAGAGTGGATTGTCTGAGCCCGCAGGTTCGAGACCAGCCTGGGCAACTTGGTGAGATCTCGTCTCTACTATAAATCAAAAATTGGCCGGACGTGTTAGCAGGCGTGTTCCGGCTACTTGGAAGGCTGAGGCGGAAGGATCACTGGAGCCCAGCAGGTCAACGCTGGGGTGACCATGAGTGTGGCACTGCACTCCAGCCTGGGCGACAGAATGAGACTCCAACTTAAAAAAAAAGAAAAGCGTTTATCATGCATAGTGTTATAAGTTCTTATTTGTTCTTTGGTGTTTTTCCAAATGTATTTCCAAAAGTAGGTCTCTTTTCTACTTTGTTTCCTGCTTCATGGCATCTAGAAAATAAAGGGGGAGGAGTTAAAAACAGGAGCTTATAAATAAAAGAGTTATGAAATCATGTGGCGACTCACACTGCAGACAGAATGGTGGCCATAATGATGCTTTGATAAATCAGCTCTGTCTCTGCCTTTCTTATTAAAAAAAAAAAAAAAATCCCAAATGCATGTTAATTTAAAATAGTAAGATCTATAATTGGGAAAGAAGAACTTTATTTCTTATGATGATTTACAAACAGCGGTCTGGGGAGTGGAGCTCCCTGTTGAGACCGAAAGCAATCACTTCAAGGAAGGAAGGGTGAGACAAGAGTTTCATGCTAAACAGGTTGGCTAAATATACATATTTAACAGGTTATGGGAGGGGTTATGAATATTCATGAGGAAGGGTAAGCAAATATATATGTCACATACATTTCATGTTCACTTTGGGGTGAAGACATTAAAGTCAGGTCAAATTAGGCTCTGTACTCAAATGGTAAAACACAGGACACAAAAGTGCTATATATGCAGCCTCCATAAACTAGCCAGAACCAGTCTGTGGTCAGTGGACATTTATTAGGAAGGACTGCTTTGTAGTTTAGTCGTTATGTCAAAATCGTGAAAAGGAATAGGATCTGGTCAGAGCATCAGATGGTTGGTTGAAATCAGGATAGGAATCTTCTATTCTTTGTTTTCCAGGACTTGTTTCCCTTTAATTCTTAGGAAAAAATGTCTGGTGATAGTAAGAAAGGGGTATACTGAGGCATAACTGACTTCTCATCTCATCATGGCCGGAAACTTAGTTTTTAGTTTTTCTGGACTCTCCTTGGCCAAGAGGGATCCAATTCAGTTGATCAGAGGGCTTAAAATTTTATTTTTATTTTTCAGGGACAATCACTGGATTAAGTTATAGGTGTTCTAGGTATGGGTTCAGCTCTACATTTAATTTTCCATGTGAACTTGTAAAGGACACTTACATATTTATGAGCTTCAGTTTCCACATCATAAAGCAGGGGTAATGCCTGTCCTCTTTCCCACCTCTTTAGGTTGTTAGAGTGATAAAGTTAGATTTTGGTCACAAAAGTGCTTTGGAAAGTCACTATAATAAGCCAATATCACGCTGGAGGATATATTTCAATAGCTATCACTTGGGTTTTTGACTGGAAGATTGTCTTTCTAGCAGTAACTAAACAGATCATTTGTCTAAAAAGGTCTTTCAAGTTTCTGAGTAATAGAATAATGTAACTATCTGTGTTCTATAGAACATGGTAGGCAAGATGGTAGAAATCATTATATGCATACATTCAATTTAAAAGGATAGAAAATATTTTGCCTTATCTTTTCTCAAGAAAATTAATATATGCTACATATATTCAGTCCATAAGATCTACCTAATAATGTGAACATTATTCCATGACTCCCTGCATTTTAAAAATGAAGGTAAAGAAAATGTAGAAAATGAAATCCCAAGTTAAAGTGAGCCCATTGCAAGAACAGTATCTCTGGATACAAACTGGTAAACTACCACCAATGGTTTGCAACCCTAACTTTCTTACCTTGTCTAATGATTGGCTCTGAGCTTGAGGTTTCCTGGGGCTCCTCTTTTTTTATAATAGAATCGGAAGAGTCACCTCTTCTAATCACTGCACAAAGAAAAGAAACCCCTTAGTAGTCTCAGTGTGTGCTAATGAAGTAACCCAGAAAAAAACTCATGAAAAACTAAAAAAAAAAACAAAAAAAAAAACACCTGGGAAACTCACAAGGTCATCTCGGTCTGCCCTTTGAATTCATACTGCCTGAATGTTGTTCCAGTCACTATTACCAGAAACTAATAACAATTCACCCACATGGAGCACCTTTACTTAATCTGGCTCTCCTTCTTCTTAGACCCTACTCTTCTCACTTGTCCCTACATGTTTATTATACCTCTGCCTCTGTTTCACCATGAAGACTTTGAAAGCCATATATTGAAGTAGGCAGAACTTCTATCAGCCAGAGTCCCTAAATAGCTGTGTGGAGTAAAGACCCCCAACAATCAGGAACCACCTTATACTATGTGAGCAAGAAATAAACTTCTTCCTGTGTTTGAGTCAATAAATATTTAGGGGCCTATTTCTTATTGCAATTATCCTGAGAGGATGCCATCCATACACAAACCTGAAATATATGGCATTGTCTTCATGATCAAGTAACAGATAGTGAAGAGATATATCAGAAACTGGAAAGATCGTGTAGCAGCAAATCAAGAAGGGAAGGAAACATGTGGTAAAAATTGCAAGATGCCCATAAAAACTCAGCCCCTCTTTTTCCAGGGCACACAGCTGGTCTTTTCAAGGTTTCTTTGCAGTGAGGGATGATCATTTGCCTGAATTCTAGCCAAAGAAATATGCACAAATATGATGTACTTCCTACACCTCTTTCTCAAATTTGATGCTAATCCCCAGGGGACCTTGAGAGCCATGGGATGAGAATGGCAAAGTCTCCATCAGCCTAGGTCCCTGATTGACTATGCATAGCAAAGCTACTCAGAACATCCTGCCTTCACCAACTGGTAACCTCCTTAGACTTTTTACATAAGTGAGAAATAAAGTTCTATGTGTTCGAGTTACAATGGAAGGGGGATTATTTGTTACAGCAGATAGTTTCTTCTAATTATAATAATCTATATATTATATATAAAGTTTAAGTAGATGAATAAAATGTGAATCATCTAATATTAAGTAGAAGGATAAAATGTTAATAATTTAAAGTTGAAACAAATTTTTAAATTGGTAAAAACAAAGAAAATAGAATAAATTCTTTGCAAATCAAAAGTAACATCATAAAATCATAGTTGCTCTTACATCTTTTCCAAATATGTTCTCCCAAGGAAGATATGTTTCTAACATTTCCGGAATCTAGAAATATAGAAGAAATAAGAAGTCAAAATGTATTAAATAAAAAGAGCAATAAAGCTTATAGCAATTTGCACATGAGAATGTACTCAAATTTTAATGATGTTTTCATTATCATATATGTCTTATTTAGGCATTTCTCTATTCTAGAATTGAGTTTTAGGTGTCCAGGATTCTAGTCCTGGTTCATTCTTTAAATCTCACTGAGACTACAAAAATAAATCGCCTTAGGCATTTATATGCCACGATTTCCTCATTTATAAAACAGAGACAATACTTATCCTAATTTACTCTTCAGGTTGCATTTTAAAATATCTTACATTTCTGCAAAAATACATTGAAAAATTATTACATTAGTCAATGACATGCTACAAGACATTTCTCAAAGCTATTATTTGGGTTAGAAATAGTTAACATGTAGCTTTTCCTTCTGGTACTAGATTTTTTTTTTAATTGTCTTTTGAAGTCTTTTCCACATTTGTGCCCAAAGGACATTATTGACCAGCAGAACGTTTGTGTTCTGTGCTTCATGGAAGAAGAGATATGAACAGACATGGAAATCACAACATAAAGTCAAAAAACCTTTAGTATTAAGAGGCAATGACAATATGTAGTTTAAAAATACCATACTTTTGCTTGCATATTTAAACTAAAACATCTATACATGAATATGCATATTCAATCAAAGGATAAATCTTCTTAAACATAGAGTAACGATGCAGAGAATGGATCCAAGGAGTCACTGGAGCCCTGTCATGTGGACACACTGAGGAAGTTCAGACTCCCAGTTACAGTTTTCATCTTCTTTACCTGGCCAAGTTCTTGGTGGAGAATCTGTTTTCTTGAACCTTTTCTTCTTTATTATTTCCTGAAGAATAGCAGCTGCTGATCATTAAAGAAAGGAATAAAATTCTTTAGGGTTTAGGGTGTGTGATGTGTGACCAACTCAGAAGAAAATGTCAGAAGAAAAAGAAGAAGAGGATAACTGAAAAAAACTTGGAAAAGTCCAGGGATAGACTACATCCGTCCGCAAGCCACCCTAATTTGCTTTATTTATTCTTCTGACTTATGATGTGAGGTGACTTTGCATTGTCTTATAAAACTCTTCTTACGCTTCACTCTCTTCCTACTTCTTACCCTTTCACCTTGCTCTACACATTTCTTCTGCTGCTGCTCTTTTGCTCACACGTGGAAACCTTGGGAAGCATGTGCTAAAGACACTAGAACCTCCATCAACCAGGGTCTTCAAATAAGTGAAATGTGTCTTGCCTATTCTTTTCATCCTCTATCAACATGGAACTCCCTTGTTTACAAGAATGTAAAACAAACTTCAGTTTTGCTTGAGCTAACACTCATTTTTGGTCTATTTATTACAGAAATTATTCTATAAAGTTGAATATAGAAGTTATGAAATTTGGTACTGAAAGGGAGGTATTGCCATAATAAAAACTTAAAATATGTCCCATTGGCTTAGTGATCAGGAAATTGATATCAGAGCACTAAAAACAAATTGATTTCCTCATTAGGCAATTGCAAAATGTGTAGTAAGTTTCTTGCATGATATATCTTGGGAGGAAAAATATAGCCCCTCCAAGACCTGTAATTCTAGAAAAGAAACTAGAAAATAGAATATCAATAGTGTCTGTTGGTTGCTACTCATTGGGTTTGAAAACTTACTACAGTTGAGAGATAAGCTTCAGCAATAATTGGCTCATGTGAGGACAAAAGTGAATGGAGTTCATAAGAATTCAGAAAGAGGGTTCTTGTAGGGATGGAAAAACCAAAATATTCTGGACTCCAAAAGTAAAAGATGAAGCTGAAAGAGGCTCTGAGCAACAAAAAGCCAGTTATGGCTTCTCAATCAAACAGAGGATCTCAGCTTTGAGATAAATCTTAAATCAAGCAAGGCCTTCACACCTAATCCTATAGCATCAGATGTCCTCAAGAGAATATCATTAAATTAAGAATGGCTTCGTGGGGAGGGGGAACTCAATAAATAAATCAGGCTTAAGGATTCCGTTTAGGAGAAAACTCTGGCAGTTGATTCAAATACATGGAATTCATGGAAGAAGAATTAATTATAAGTCAAGCAAGATTTTAATAAAATTGCCTAAAGAACCATGAATCTGGACTAAAAGTATTTTTAACTATTCAACCCCTAAGACAACCCTCAGGCACCCAAACTTCAACTAACAGAAAGCTGTGAACATATTCAGTGCTCAAGAAAAGCATGCTCCCCAGTGGCCACTTGGGGCCACTTCAGATGTGACCAACAAGGAAAATGGAAGGAGAAAATTTTTTTTAAAAAAGCGGGCAGAGTTAGAAGAATTCCTTCAAGACAGCAGAATCAAGAATCTCCTCTACTGCTAGAGGAGAGGGAATACTTCCATAATAGCCTGGTATATTAATAATAAACCATTGGCCTCTGTGTGTCTCCATTTCCTAGACAGTAGTTGTATTGGGGTTATTCTGTCCACTGGGAGTCAAAAAAAAGGAAAATAATCTTATTAAAAGATTAGATTTAATAATCTTATTATATCACCAAACATAAAGAACATCACCTAGACCCATTAAAGAGGACTGTACCTTACAAAAACAAAGTAGATATTGACCTGTATGCAATAATTATATAGGAGTTTGGGTTATCTCTTGTAAGGGAGCTGCATGAGGAAAGAGGGTAAATGGGTTTTACATGTGGAAGGTGGGATGAATGGGGATACTTGAGGGTGAGACAAAGTTTAGGAGAGATTACTAGTTGCTGACCAAAACTGTGTTCTCTGCTTCTTCCGAGGCACACATCTAAACTATATTTTTCAGGTTCTTTTGCAAATAGGCGTGGCCTATGAGAGATCTAGCTAAAAGATCATCCATGTAAGAGATGTGCCTGCTTCCAAGGCTGGTCCATAACTCCTCCCACATGTACTCTTCCATACTTTTTCCTCTTCCTTGAATTTGATGGCAGTCCCCAAAGTAAAGATACCCTTGGAAGCCTTGAGTGCCAAAAACTTCATCTGCCTAAGACTGCATAATCACATGGAGTAGAGCTCCCCAGCAAACCACTACCATCTAACCAACCTGTGGCTCCTTAAGCTGCTTCGAAAGAAATAAACTTAAATTGTGTTTGAACATATTATATTTTGGAGTCTATTTGTTAGAGCAGATGGCCTAACTTAACTAATAAAAAGTAACATAACTACTACTACTACTATGTGAATCTTTCAAACAAATAATTTTCTATTTGTAATGTATATAGAAAACAAAATATTTTTGTGGGGAAAAATATTTTTTCATATGAATATCAAGAGTTTTATTGATTTTTTTAAGTAGCTTTTCTCAAAGTGAGTTTATTTCTAATATTCATAAAATTTGTAAATTAACTGAGGAAATATGAAATAGCAATTTCTAAAACGCTTAAATTGTCTGGGAAGTAATCAGGCTGAGGTGAGTGGATTGCCTCAGCCAGTGGGTTTGAGACCCGCCTGGGCAACTTGGCGAGACCTCATCTCTACAATAAATCAAAAAATTAGCCGGGCGTCGTAGCACGCGCCTGAAGTTCCAGCTACTTGGAAGGCTGAGGCCGAAGGATCGCCTAAGCCCAGCAGGTCAAGGCTGCAGTGGCCGGGAGCAGCCACTGCACTCCAGTCTGGGCGACTGAGTGAGACTCCAACTCAAAAAAAAAAAAGTATTGTTTGTTAGATATTGATAAACAAAAATAGCAATAATAGTGTAATTTTAATTTAATTCCAGAAGAAAGTAAGAAGATGAAAAACAACATAAAACAGACGAGACAAAAAACAAATAGAAAGATGGTAAATTTAAATCTAAATACATTAGTAGTTATATTAGAAGTAAATAAAACAAATACTTCAATTAAAAGACAAACATTTTCAAAGTAGAGTTTAAAAAAACTATAAGCTGATTATAATAGACACATAAAATATATGAAGATAGATAAGTTGAAAATAAAATGATGAAATAATATATGACATGCAAACACTAAACTCCTAAAAAAATTTTAAACTAGTAAGGGGGATGAGAATATACCACTTTGGCAAACTAATTATTTTGTGCATTCAGTAACTGAGAAACAGCAGATGCAGGAAGATGTCTCTTCCTTACATCTTTCTGCCTAAAAGCAGGTTCTGTTTCCAGTGAGAAAAGTGCCCCTGTGGTACCAGGAAGAGAACATTCTTATCCCCAGAAATGAAAAGTTGAAGCCAAAGTTAGTCTATACAAACAAATCTTACTAAAACAATCCTTATCTTCAATTAGTTTTCCCCATATATTTCCTTGTCATTTTCCTGTATTTTACCACCTTTAGCCCAAATCCTATCCTTTCTCTCACTCTCTCTCTCTTATCTTTTTTTTTTTCTGAGTCTGTGTCTCACTCTATCACCCAGGCTAGAGGGGAGTGGTGTGCTTACAGCTCACCGCAGCTTCAACCTCCTGGGCTCAGGCGATCCTTTTGCCTCAGTCTCCTGAGTACCTAGAACTATAGGTGTATACTACCATACCCAGCTTATTTTTATTTTTTATTTTTTTTGTAGAGACAAAGTTTTGCTGTGTTACCTAAGCTGATCTCAAACTCTTGGGCTCAAGCAATCCTCCCACCTCAACCTCCCAAAGCGCTGGAATTATAGGCATGATCCACCATGCCCAACCTCAAATCCTTTTCTTTTGTCTTTACATCTTGATAAGTTCTTGCTCTTCGTTAAAATGGTATATAAGCCTTCAGTCAAATTGCTTTTTTGGGCTTTTTGCTTCTTTCTATGAACTCCCTGTGCCATGTAAAAATATTAACATCAAATAAAATTTGTATGCTTTTTCTCCTGTTAATCTATCTTTTGTCAGTTTAATTTATAAGCCCCAGGCATTAAATCAAAGCAGGTAGAGGGTAAAATTGTACATTCCCTACATTGGTGTATACTTTTAGGCAGAAAACCTCACTAGAAATAAAGGAGGGACATTACATAATGATAAAAGATTCAATTCACACAAAAGATAAAATAATTCTAAATCTATTTGTACTTGCCGGGCTTGGTGGCTCAGCCTGTAATCCCGCCCCTTTGGGAGGCTGAGGTGAGTGGAATGCCTGAGACCGTGGGTTCGAGACCCACCTGGGCAACTTGGCGAGACCTCATCTCTACAATAAATAAAAAATTAGCCGGGCGTGGTAGCGCGCGCCTGTAGTTCCAGCTACTTGGAAGGCTGAGGCGGAAGGATCGCGGGAGCCCAGCAGGTCGAGGCTGCGGTGGCCGGGAGCGGCCACTGCACTCCAGTCTGGGTGACAGAGTGAGACTCCAACTCAAAAAATAAAAATAAATAAATCTATTTGTACCTAACAGAATAGCCACAAAATATATAAAGCAAAGACTGACAAGATTAAAAGGAGAAATAAACAAATCTACTGTCAAAGTGGAAGCTTGTAACTCAGTCACTGATAAAGCAAGCAAACAATAAGTAAGGACGCAGAAAATCTGGATCATCCAGGTAACAAACTTGACTTACTTGCTACATAGAAGACACTATTCTCAGCAATTTTAAATGTGTGTTTTTTTAAAGCACACATGAAACACGTATAAAAATGACCAATTTTGAGCCATAAAACAAATCTCAAATTTCAAGAACTGAAATTATGTCAAGTATATTCTCTGACAATAGAGAAATTAAGCTAAAAATCAATAAGAAAAAAACTCCTCGTGAGTGGAAATTAAGAAAAGGCTTTCAAACAATTCACCATCAAAGGAGAAATCACAATTAAAAGCAAAAAGAAAACATTCCTTGAAGGGTAATAAAAATATGACATATCAAAACTTAGGAGATCCATGAAAAGTAAAACTTAGAAGGAAAAATTATAGCCTTAAATGCATAAATTAGGAAAGAAA